AGGTAACATATATGCGCTCCCCTCCCACATTTTACCTCATAACTGTGTCAGGTAAATTATGTTGAGAGAACATGACTGCAGAGTGAGGATTTGAACCAGAGCGTCACCTCTCCTACTCCAACAATAACCACTAAATTACAAATTCAGATGGGAATTGGCACTGCTGAAGATGGAATCACATAACTTTTTCCATACAGGAGAGGAAAGCTGGAATGGGTGGGTGGAGAGATCTTTTAGTGGATAGCGGGGGAAGGGGGGGAAGTCCCCCCGCACCCTAACTGTAATTCTGTTCCCAATTGCAGTCTTCCAATGATATTTTTCCTTTTTTAAAAAAAAATGGGGAAGAGAGACAGAACTCCATGTCATGTCTATTTTGGATCCAGAAGAGGTAGGGAAGGTCAGCGGTTGATTCAGAGACTCATCACAGGAGGCTGCTGAAAAGTCACCTGAGAAAATGAGATCACCAAGAGAAATAAACGTGGGCTTAACACTCTTGAATGCAGTATAAATTGGGAAAGAGAAGGTTACTACAGGAGGTGATAAAGAAACGGCTCGCAATTTAAAGAGAGTTAGAAGCGCACAAAATGTCAGGGACTAACTTAAGACAAGTATTCATGATTTAATAGACAAAAAGCATTCAAGAGAAGAAACTGAACCAAAGTGTAAGGACAAAAAACCCCTCCTTTTCAACTAGCTGTATTTTGACATACGGAAGTGAGCAGCTTCATTCACCAGGGAAAGTGGCAAAAGATTCACAGAGGCAAAGAACTGGATTCAGATAGAACAGCACAGAAGAAGGGCTTCTCATAAGTTAGGAAGCCAGATCATGATCAACTCAACACACAGCTCCTCAGGGTTCCATTTTATGAAATGACATATACTGGCCATTGATTTTCAGAAAGCTGGCAGAAAATACACCACCGAGTCATCTCTTAGCAGGAAGTAATACTATCACTCTAACAGGTTTGCCTAGAGAAACGGGTAGGGGAGAAAAGCGATATAGATGGTGCTCAGAAGGATTTGTGACCTGGTCGCCACACTAGATTTCTGAATGCAACATGAAATCCAAAAATAGGCAATAGAGAACAGACTTCAAGTATAAGCAATCTGAAATACTGCACTCCCCATACAGATGGAAGGCCCATCTATTCTTGCACTGCATTTCTAACAGGGATCAGAGGAACTTAATAAGACACTTGCCTGGAAGATTTCCCCCCCAATTTTTAATTATGACGCCAAGACCGAAAAGAAATACAAAATATAGCAACAATGGTGGCGTCTACACATATGCACCTCCTAGTATCTAAAAATATGTCCGTATGCAGATGTCGTCTATATGCCATACATCCAAATGGTGATAAGGTTGTAAGGTGGTAAAGTGGAAGGTGCATTTGTCTCTCCAGTGTTGTAATGTAAATCTTTTAGCAACAATATGGGCACCGACAGTCAACAGAAAGGGCATGGAGGATCACTTGGCTAAAAGGTGAGAGCAAGCATCAGTGTGCCACAGCATTCGTTCTGTACACCTGTGTACCAATATCACACTGATCCATCATTTTCTAGTACAAAATGAGACTATTCCACCAGTAGAACTCGCATCCCATATTTCATCATGACAAAAAGTGCGCACTTGGCAATGCAAATCTTTGCTTATTCAGAAGGAAAATGGCACCATGAATCCACTAAATCATTCTAGGCATCCTGATTTAATGAACAGCCATATTTCTAGGAATTATTAATTCAATCAAAAATGCCTCCCTCCGGCTGAACATGCCACATTAATAAACCTTCTCAAATTAAAATCAGAAGGGTTTTTAAAATACTGCTTGAGAAAGCAACTTTACATAATGGACCATCTTATATTCTAATAGCCATTCATAGCCCACATCTGCGGATAGCTAAATCCACAGATCTGGGCCATGTGGAGGTGTCATGATCCTGGGCCTATAGTGGCGTGGGCTCTAGGGAAGCCTGTATTAGAGTGACTACAGGGCCTAAGTTTCCCAGGTCCCTCTGGACCCTGTGACTGGCTAATAAGGGATTTGGAGGGAAAACTTATACCAGTAAAATAGTAGAGTGTGGTGCCTGGGAAGAAGAAATAAAAGGGCCTTGCCCAAAGTGGGAGGGTGTTCACTCTCAGGGAGCAGAGCTGGTGAGGCTGCTGCAGAAAGAGGGATCCCTTCTCCAAAAGAGGTGAGTCGGTCTGATACCAAGTACCTAGAGAAGGCTAGGACAGTACAGTCAGACGTGTTAGTATTTATTATTTTCCTGGTTTACCTACCTTTTGGTGGTGGTGGTGGTGGAGGAGGAGGAGATTGGATTTATACCCTGCCCTTCACTACCCAAAGGAGTCTCAGAGCAGCTTACAAACTCCTTTCCCTTCCCCTCCCCACAACAGACACCCTGTGAGGTAGGTGGGGCTGAGAGAGCTCTGACAGAAACTGCTCTTTTTCAAAGACAGCTGTCCCAGAAGGTGCAAGTGGAGGAGTGGGGAATCAAACCCGGTTCTCCCAGATTAGAGTCCGTGCGCTTAACCACTACACCAGACTGGTAGTGATTAAGTTTGGTGTAGTGGTTAAGCGTGCAGACTCTAATCTGGGAGAACCAGGTTTGATTACCCACTCCTCCTCTTGCAGCTGCTGGATGACCTTGGGCAAGCCATAGTTCTGTCAGAGCTGTCCTTGAAAGGGCAGTTCACTCAGAGCTCTCTCAGCCCCACCTACCTCACAGGGTGTCTGTTATGAGGAGGGGAAGGGAAAGGAGTCTGTAAGCCACTCTGAGATTCCAAGTGAAGGGCAGGATATAATTCCAATCTTCTCTCCTCCTCTCCTTTACTTTGCTCATTTTTCCTATATGTTTTTGAACTACAGTTGTTACTAAATCTCTTTAATAAAACTATTTTGTTACTCTGCCTGGATCCTCATGTCTCATTTGGTCACTTATAAGGGGAAACCTGTTGGAAAAGAGTGTATAAAGGGGTAGGGTGGGTGCTCTGGGCCCTCCCAAGGAGACCCATACCAGAGTGCCTGTGGAAGCTGACTGGGTGTTTTTGGATCTGTCACATACTTTCAGCCTAACCTACCTCACACGGTTGGTGTGCAGATAAAACGGAGAACAGAATAAAGTATGCTGCCTTGGTCCCCACTGTGGGGAAAGACAGGGTATAAATGAAGTAAATATAGCTGAAGATGGAAGGCAGATAAAATGCAGGTTGGTGAATGGCTGAGGAGAGAATGGTACACAGAACTGTGGCACCACACAACTGGGCCACGGTTTTCCTAGGCAGAAGGTGCCAGGCTGGGGGAGCTTAAGAAGAAGAAGAAGACGAAGAAGAGGAGATTGGATTTATACCCCACCCTTCACTTGGAGTCTCAGTGCGGCTTACAAACTCATTTCCCTTTCCCTCCCCACAACAGACACCCTGTGAGGTGGGTGGGGCTGAGAGAACTCTGACACAAACTGCTCTTTTTCAAGGACAGCTGTGCCAGAGCTTGTGACTGACCCAAGGTCACACCAGCAGGTGCAAGTGGAGGAGTGGGGAATCAAACCCGGCTCTCCCAGATTAGAGTCCGCACACTTAACCACTGCACCAAACTGGCTCTGAGAAACTGACAGAGGTGCAGATAAAGGTAGGTTAGCTGTTGCATGGGACGGAGATAGGGTTGCTAACTCCAGGTTAGGAAATTCCTGGAGATTTGGGAGTGTGACCTCAGAAGAGTATAATGCAATAGACGCCACTCTCCAAAGCAGACATTTCCTCCAGGGAACTAGGGTTGTCAACCTCCAAGTGGGAGCTGGAGATCAACTGGAATTACAACTGCTCTCCAGATGACAGAGATCAGATCCCCTGGAGAAAATGGCTGCTTTGGAGGTGGACTCTATGGTATTATACCTGGCTGAGGTTGCTTCCCTCCCCAAACCTCACCCTCCCAAGGCTCCCCCCCCCCAAATCTCCAGGAATTTCTCCACCTGGAGCTAGCAACCCTAAGGGGAACTGATCTCTGTAGTTGGGAGATCTGTTGTGATTCCAGAAGCTCTCCAGGCCTCACCTGGAGGTTGGCAACTCTAGAAGGAGACAAGGAAGCAGGAAAGCAGAAGACACTATGGAGGGCTTTCAGGAAAGGGGAAGAGGAAATAGTCAGGGAGGGGAAAATGAGATGCCTCCCGCAAGTCCTTGCAGGTTCCCACTTCTTTCAATCTATGTTTTGAGCTCCTTTCCATGTGAAAATGTTTACCTGATAGTTTCTCAGTCAACACTTGGAACTCATGAATACTTCTTTTAAAGCAATGCTTTATTTTTTTTTTTAATGTTTTTTGCTACTACTTCAGAAACCGGCATTATTTCTTCTGCAGAAACAGAGGATCAGCAGGACAATGTTTATGATCCCTTAGAATCCTCCACATCCTCCTTAGCAGGGCCACTGTTAAGCCAGCAATCTACCATTCCATACCAGAATATTTAGTTCCTCATCCTTGAGGCTAAATGTTGTGCATTCATCTTTGTTTTAGTCTACAGCACTGCTTTCAGCCAAACCCTCCAGTCTGTTGAAAATATCTTGAATTCTATTCCGATCCTCCCGTTTACATCAAGCCTGAAGTGGTAGATGATGCAGGGAAATTAAGAATAACCCATCTGTAGGCTAGAGCTGAAAAACATTGACAGTGCAGTCCTAATTGACAGAGCCAGTTTGGTGTAGTCATTAGAGGCGCGGACTGTATTCTGGGAGAACCTGGTTTCAGTCCTCACTCCTCCACATGCAACTGTTAGAGTGAAATACTCGGTAAAACAAGGTTTTTTTACTCACTCAAAATGTATAAGACTCTACAGCATTAGATAATGACCATTCCTCTGTATACTGCTGACATATACAGCCTGTTTTCAAGGGAATTTATTTAAATGTGAATAATTTGGGCAGTAACATGCTTTAATGACAGTACATTATTCAATAATTCAATGTTACAAAGTTTAACTTACTATCCAAATATGCAGGTAGTCCTACCTTATTGTGACTTTTGAGCGTGTTTCTGTCCAAATAATATACTCTCTTGTTTACTACAGAATTTGTTTTCTACTGTCAGTTTTTTCTCATACCTGTCAAATGGCAAAAATAACAATAAGATACATATGCTAAGGTAGTATAGGGTGCAGCAGTTTGGAGTGTACTCTCTCTCTCTCTCTCAACTATTAAGTAAATGTGCAATTCTGCTTGTGGAACACCAACCCTGCAATCCTAAACAGAGTTCTAGTCTTCTAGGACTGAAGTATCAGTCATTTATACTATTAAACTCTCTAAATACGCCAAATAATTTTATGTAGGCTAACTGATAAAAGTATGCATGCTACATTGTTAAAGCAATAAAGCAAGTTTAGGTTTGACATGAAAGTCTTGCATACATTTCCATTTCCCCAATATTTCCTTTCTTGCCCCGTCCCTGCCCCACCCACAGGTTCTTCCATGGTTTACAATTTCCAGAAGTTCCACATCTCTAGGCGACCCCTCAACCAACGTTCCCACTAATTCCCCCCCCCCTACTGAGCAGAGCAGTTCACATTCTGAGCAGAATATAACTACTATAATCTCAGAATGGGCAATGGGCAGTGCAAGACCCTTTGTGGCTCCAGATTGCTTCTGAGCAGGGCTGCCTGTGTTAATGAACGGCCGCTCATGTCATGTGCATAGCTTACAGGGAACACGGCCCTCAACTATGGAACACTCTTCCAACAAATATGCAACTGATCCAGAGTACACTCCATTACCAGTGCCTGCTAAAGATATGCTTGCTTGATTAGGTTGGAGAGTGGGACAAAAAATTATCAAAATAAGTAAATAGACAATCAAAATCTAAATCATCAATCCTGTTGCTTATTTACCATAATAATGTTGGTTTCAATGGTTTTAGTATGTGTTTTTACCACATATGTTTTCATTTTTTAGCTACCTTAGTGGCTCATGAGGGCAGGGTATAACTTTTGTTAAATATAAATAGATAAATGAATGAATAAAATAAATAATACAGCAGCTTACCGGTATAATGGAAGTGGGAAAGCACAAGGACATTGACGTTTGAACACAGAAGAAAAAGGCAACAGAAAAATGAACAGTGAATCGGTTCCGAGTTGATGCTGTCAATTGTTGACTTCCTTATCCTAAAGGAACAACAAAATCAAAATTTTTAAAAAGTCGCCTAGTGGAATTCAGTATTTTTAAAAAGCGTATCACTACACAGAATACACAGAACACTCTCTGGAGACCAGGATAATCACACCGCAGAAATTATACCTTCTAACCATTTAAATTTGCAAGCACAGCTGAGGTTTTTCTATGAATTGAAATCTCCTCCTCATCCTTTGCTGTTATTGTTATTTGGTATTGCTACATTTTATGATGCTCTACGGACGCTTCAATTATAATTGCTTCAAAATACACCCAAGAGTCTTTTTATAGATCCATGCAAGGAGAAAAAAAATTAAAACACATCTATTTCTAAGATGTGTATGCCGCCACGATTAACTGCTAGTTATAACCAATGACAAATTATCACAGTGACACCTTCTGGGTTCTACTGTACGTACACTGGATTCCATTCAAAGAACTGAATTGAACAAGTTCACAAAACATCTCTTACTATTTGAATGAATGATGAATGAATGAATTAATATTTATTTGCAGTCAAAGACCATTTTTCATAAGAATACAATATCATACAGTCAAAGAGAGTCATTCCAGGACAGAAAATATGTCTAGTCATAAAAACCTTAAAACATTCATGAACTATAATAATCCGGGGGGAAAAACCCTTAAGATATATCTAAAATGTCTAATATATGTAAAATGATTACAAGTCCTACAAATAAAAACTATACATAACCATACTTCTTGTTGTGAAATTTTACCAAGTAGAAGCAGAATTTGGCTATTTGTCTGGAGATAATTGGCTTTTCATTAACTAAAAGTCTCTCCAGGCAGGTCTCATCTGCATCTACCAATGGTCTTGTCTAAAAAAGGGGAAATAAACTTATCCCTATGAACTTGATGGAACGGGCACCTAAAGAACATATGAACCATCGATTCCTCTTCTTCAACAGAACAAGGGCAACATCTGTCTTCATATGGGATCTTCCTATATTTCGCATCTAGCACCCTTGAAGGGATAACTGCACAACGAGCCAAAGTAAAAGCTCTTCTATGAGATGGCACTTCCAAATACGCAAAATATTTGGCCATATTCATAACGTATCTGGACTCTCTGGGGGCCAGGAAACAAGGGGCTTTTATTAAATCTCACTGTCGCTCTATATCATGCACCCTTTGTTTGATGGTACTTTTCGCCTGGGCGCTGCTCTGCACCAAAAGATTCTCAGGAGAGAGTCCTATTCTTTCTAAATTGATCTTGACCATTCGCATCCACCTTGGGTGATGAGAATCTTGAATTATTAGTGGGGAAAGGCCTTTTGGAGTTGTATAGATCTTAAGCCACTGATATGCGGACGCTAACAGTATTCTAGCTTCTATTCTCATTTGACCCGTTTCAAGACGTAGAAGGGCGTTTGGCACACCAGGGGGTACCTGTAAAATATTACAGAGAAATGTAGACTGGACCTTCTTGAGCGCATGTAAGTACTTCCAACCTAGAGTATTTACTCCAGTGAGAAGGAAGAGAAGACAAGGCAGTCTTACATTCAGGGCCACCTTCCTTTCGAGTAAATACCGTATTAAGGTAATTTAAAACTATTTCTGTTGTATAAGGTGTCAGCTACCCCTCCAGTTTTGTACCACCTGCAAATTTGATAGGAATTCCCTCCACTTCCATAATCCATATCATTAAGATGTTGAAGGTTACTGGACCTAGGACAGAGCCCTGAGACACCCCAGAGACCACCTTCCATTTTGATGAAGTACCACTGATAACTACTCTGAGTACGATTCTCCAACCCGTCATGAATCCACCTGACAGTACTACTCTCTAACCCGCATTTAACCATTTCACTAACCAAAATGTCATGGGGGATTTTGTTTAAAGACTTGTTGAAATCAGCTTCCTTTAGGAAGTTTGAAGTGACTTAAGAGATATGAAACCCACAGTGGAAGTACTTAAAAAAAATCATTCGCACCACTCAACACATTTGCAACGATTAATACTTGTGGCAAGTACTCCCACCAGATATCGTGTCACCCAGTGTTTCCTCTAAGCTGAGTTAGTGTGAGCTGGCTCACAGTTTTTTAGCCTCCGGCTCACACATCTTTGTCTTAGCTCAGGAAGGAGGGCTCCGGAGCAAACTAATTTATGCAGTGGCCAAATCACTCGCTCACAACTCTAACGCCAGTAGCTCACAAAGTAGAACTTTTGCTCACAGAACTCACCAGCCAAGAGTGTGATAAGTGTACGTTTAGACCAGACCTGAGGCAAAATCGGAGCAGTTCTGCCTTCCCCTCTGTCACCTGTTATCATGTCAACCTCCTATCATTTCACCATGCCTGGATCCATCTAGGGATTATTTATTTATTCATTTGTCATGAAGTCGCAGCCAATTTATAGTGACCCAATAGGGTTTTCAAGGCAAGAGAAGTTCAGAGGTGGTTTGCCATTGCCTGCCTCTGCATATTATTTATTTATTCATTTGTCATGAAGTCGCAGCCAACTTATAGTGACCCAATAGGGCTTTCAAGGCAAGAGAAGTTCAGAGGTGGTTTGCCATTGCTGGCCTCTGCATAGCAACCCTGGACTTCCTTGGTGGTCCCCCATCCGACTACTAACCAGGGCTGACCCTACCCGGCTTCCAAGATCTTACAGGATCAGGCTAGCCTGGGCTACCCAGGTTACCCCTCTATTTTATTTTAATTTGAAGTATTTTGCTATAGCACCCCTTAGTACTACCAATAACCGAGAGCTGATAACTCAGATTTAGAATTCACAGACTGTCGAAAACAATGAATCGAGGTTCCTTTTTGCCTGCAGTCTGCAAGGATCAAGAGAGACTGCTGCATTATTGACAAATTTGTATGAATAACACTGCGCCATGGAATGAGAATACACCATATGTCACATTTATTTTGACATCACACTGTTTCTCACATTTCAGATGAGAGTATTATCACTTGCGAAAAAGAAGAGTAAATTCCAATTTGGATACAGGAACTAAAGGCTGAAAGCTCTCAAAGAGGAAGTAGGAACTAATGATGCTCTTGTTCTCTGGCAGAACACCATATTTTTCTTTACCTTTCCCCTAATGCTGCTTCATTAGCGTACCCATGGCTCACACAACCTGGCCAGGATAGCCCAGATCTCCGAGGCTAAGCAGAGTCAGCCCTAGCTAGTATTTAGATGGGAGACTACCAAGGAATACCAGGGTGATGACACAGATGAAGCAAATGGCAAACCGCCTCTGAATTTCTCGTGTCTTGAAAACCCTACAGAGTCACCATCAGTCAGCTGTGAGTTGACGGCAACAACAACAAAACCTCTCTCACACATGCACACAATATATTATGCTTCTGCAGCAGAGCCTGCTAATGTGGTTCAGTTTGAAATGTGTGATATGCAAATCTAATAAAACCAACTGCTATTAGAACATACACACCTTTTAGCGTAGCTTGCTGGTTATTTATTTATTACTTTCGATTTATATCCCGCCTTGCCAGCGCAAGCTCAACAACAAAAATCTATAGATAGGCAAACATTCTCACACATGCATTCTCTAGGGGGCTAATACTTCATCAACATAGGTGGATTTTATTGGTCTTTTAAAGAAGTTGTAATTCACAAGCCTGATTTTGCCTGAGATTCTGATACCCACTGCTGCCTCTAGTTCCTCTAGAGCCAGCATGGTGTAGCAGTTAAGAGTGGTGGACTCTAATCTGGAGAACTGGGTTTGATTCCCACTCCTCTACCTGAAGCCTGCTGGGAGACCTTGGGCCAGTCACAGTTCTATCTGAACCCTCTCAGCCCCACCTACCTCACAAAGTGTCTCTTGTGGGGAGAGGAAGGAAAGGCAATTGTAAGCGGCTTTGAAACTCCTTAGGGTAGAGAAACGTGAAGTATAAAAACCA